TCCATAAGAACGATATGATTGCGAGAACGAATTTGCCTGTATTTTTGAAAAGGTCCTGTTCACACATGATCTCTTAACGGTAATTTACCAGTAAAGACTGTAAAGGGGCTAAACTCTTCCTCTGCATATGCGGTGAGTTTGGGTTGCTTAACGTTCATCTGGGAAAACTCACTTGATTTGTAACGTAAATAATTTAAACCTATGCCAACACAGGAGAATACATCAACATATTTCTAAATATGCGATGTATTGTACATCGCGATTTCAAAATAAAAGTTTCTGACTTCGCATGTGGCCAAATATGAAAATGAAATGGATTTAAACGTCGTTGAAATACATGAAACATCACCAGGCCGTTGGTGCCCTCTGCAGGTATTTGTTATAATATAGGCATTTTGCATTATGTATTTAACAGTGTTGTTCAATAAAACCATTTACTTGGTTTTGATACTTTATTTGAGGCCAATTATTATTGCCTTATCGTTACTTTATATATAAATATGGTCATATTAAAGCCTGTGGCTTTATAGGTAATATTTTTGTCGGCAAAATTGAGCAAAAACAGACAATATTGTGTTTAAAATATAACACAATATTAACTTCTTGTTTACTGAACTGTTGTAAAATCCCATTTGCACTCGTGGTATTCGGACATAAGCAGCATTCGTTTGATATTAAATATCATGTGATATTAAATATGAGACAAAAACTCATACAGGAGTATTTTTGCCCCAATATCTTGAATTTTAGGGCATAGGATGATGTTGCCCTGAATCATATTTGTCAGCAGTCAACTATATGAAATGTAAGATGACATACAGGTCTGGAGGCGGGGCCAGTGCGTTAACTGCGTTAAAATATTTTAATCGCGTTATTTTTTTCATAGCTAATTAATTAAGTTAACCTGTTAAACTTGATCGAAAACTTTTTTTTTTTTATATATATATAATGTATTTTTATAATGCAACTGGAAATTTGAGATATAGATTTTGTTGTTTGAGGGTTAAGGATTCAGAGGAAAAAAATAATTTTGATTACGATTGCAGAGTTATATTATATTATATCCTTATTATAGCGCCACCTAGTGTCTGATTTCTGCTGATCCCACCAAGTCTGGTTTCTCTAGGTCGCCTAGACAGTTTTAGTGAAGAAAAAAAGAAAATCTTTGCAAATGCTGTTCTTCTGAACTTTCTATTCACCCAAAAAAAAAAAAGACACTGTTGTTTGTTTTGCATGTTTGATTTCAGTTCTGCTTATGAAGAAGGATATCAGAACCAGGGGCCTAAGCGCGACTTCTGGGAAACCTTTGGTAGTAACTCGGCTCTCAGCGGCAACTCTGTAGAAAGGAGCTCAGAAGACCAGTCCAACAACAAGAATAGTGCTGCAGACAGCTGGGACACCTGGGACAACGACTGGGAGAAAGCTGGAGATGACAAGGACAAGAAGAGCACGTCGAAAGCGGCTGAGGACTCTTGGGACAACAGCGGCTGGTAGACCTGCAGAGGGTTTGTGTGTTTGCTTTCATTGGCCTGTCCTGTACAACACGCATCACAAACACACCTCTGACTGGACGTGTCCCTCGTTTCGCCTGTCGTTGTTCGTTTCTGTTGAGAATAAGTTGATAAAGATCTTTTTGATGTCTCTGTCCATGATGGAGATGTTTAATATTACAGTATAAAGTTTGATATTATAGTGGATTTGACACCAGCAGAAATCTGCATGTCATCTGCTGTTTGTGGTCCGTAGATCATAAAGCTTCAGATCGCAGTGGCTTTCCTGTGTTATGACAGACTCCTGTTTGTTCATGGTTTTTTATTTTATATGTATGTGTTCATTATATATGTGTATATATATGATGAGCTGTCAAACAGATTCCTATTCAAAAAAAAAAAATTCATTTTTATCAGCAAAATCGTTCAGGCTTCCTGTTCATAATGTAATCACCATAACCAAACGTTCGTCTGTAGAAGCATGACGCATGGGCTTTTCATCGTTTTAGTTGATATCCTTCAGTTCGTCATCCATCACCTCGTGGCCTTTTTATGGAAATCGCTAATGTTCTTTTTTTTTTTCTTTTTTTTTTAAGTGCTGGGCATTTATAATCATGTTATGTATTTTGTTTGTTTGTTTCCTCCTGTAATATCCTCTCATGTTGTCCATATTGTCATTCCAGATGTGAAATGTGCTGTTCATGAGCTCTTGGATTACATGAAAGAACAAATTATCTCAAAGATTTCCTGTAAAACTGAAGACTTGGACATCAAACATCATTATTTAATTCATGTTTTTCCATTTATTTTGGTCTTTTATTTGTGATTTCGGCTAAACGGGATGTTTCTCCTTACCTCAGTAATAAGGTGTTTGTTTTCTGTATTATTGTCAAGTTTGCCCCGAATCTCTTTATGATATTGAATATTGCTGTTATCCACACATCATGTGTTCATGAATTCATTGACATCTACTGCTTTATGGATGTACCTGACTAGCACATCTCTGCTATGTACGTTTGAACTGTAACAACGCCTGCTGTGTCTGAGGAACATGGGTGAGCTACACTATATTCTGTTAGTTAAATAGTATAGTTAATAAAGCTTTAAACACCACCTGACTTCTGAACTTGGCCTCATATGTAACTTGAACCTGATGTTGATGAGAAGGTCATGAATTGACAGCTGGACTTTCCATCTGAAGATGTTTCCTGTGCATGTGTTTAATGACGTCAGAGCTCAGGAAGCAAACATGCCTTCGTTACGCTGGGTTCATCACAGATGGTGTGGACGACAGATGTGATGTGATGGTTGGGCTGTCCTGTGACTGCATGATATTCATCTGTGAGTGTAGAGTCAAGGTTTGAGAAAAGTAAGCAATCAGGAGTCTCTTCACTGAAACACTTTCAAATGGACCAAAAAAAGGCTTTGGCTGTTATCATGATGTCCTGCTCACAGGCAGATCTACTGAAGAAGAGGAATGCCGGAGTCACATGGGGTGCCTCAAGGAGCAATGTTTGGTCCCCTCCTGTTCTCCATAAACACAGCCTCGCTGGTGCATGATCATAAGGGTACATGGGATTCCTGTCAGGATATGCAGTTCAGCTCCTTGTCCATTTCAAGACTGGACTACTGAAATGCTGTATTAGCCAACTAGCACTACTAAAGCTGTGTTCATACCATGTTGTAATTACTGTAATTTCGAGATAACGTGACTTTCTACTCCTCAGATTGTGCCTGAATTAAACTTTTCAAACTCTGAATTAGCACCTAAATGTATCTGGGGTGGTCAGGTGGTACCGCGGTCACATGGTCCAAGTTGTGGCTCTCAGAACATTCCCAACTTTAAAGTTGTAATTACGAGTTCTGCAAGCCTTTGGTGATGATAGTGTTGCCATAGAAACGCATAATTCCAAGTCTGAGGATGCGGACAGCTCCGTGTCGAGCGTCACATTATCTTGAAATTACTGTAAATATGACATGACGTGAATACAAATTGAACCTCTGCAGATGATCCAGAATGTGGAAACATGTCTGGTCCTCAATTAGCCAACATGGACTAAACTCTAAACTCACTCCACTGGCTTCAGATTTTAGGTTTTGATGCTGACTTGCAGGACTTCCGCTGGAAGAACACCACCTCAATACATTCCTACAAGTATATGAGCCAATTAATGTCACTGAACGAGTGACGCCTTGTTCCTTCACTGTACGTGTTTCCAAAACCTTCACCGTCTCTGCTCCCCTCTGGTAGAATGAGCTAACCTCTCCCCGAACTGCTGAGACCATCACAGCTTTTCCACTTTTTGTGTCCCACTGAAGAAAGTCACAGGTTTGGAATGATGTGACGCTGAATAAATGATGATAGAATGATCACATTTTTGAATGAACTATTACTCTTAAGATTATTAACTGTTTTTCCCAAACTTTGTTGGCAGCCGAACCTCTTTTATCTAAAATATTTACTTGAAGTTCCCTTAAATTTTAAGCTAGTATTTCAATCATTTAACTTGTTGAACAACATATTTGCATGTTCACAGTTTTCTGATGTTGATTAATGCTAACATGACATGCAGGTGAACAAATAAAATTTTTCTTTTTAGTTAGTATTTTATTTGGATTGTTTTTATTGTTTTGCTAGCTTACAAACCCCAGTTTGGGAAACCCTGCATATGTCCAGAAATATATTCAACATTTTTTAATGAATGTAATGTTCACAACAATTCAGAGACACTGAAGTTTTGGAAGACATTATCTTAACGCACAGCTGAAATTCTGATGTTCAGTGTTTTAAGAGTGTGTGCTGCTTGCAATTCCAAGGTCATGGGTTCAACTCCCAGAGAAATCATGCATAGAAATGTTATAATCAGAAGTTGATGCATTCTCCTCTGTGGGGTCGTGAGGATGCTGGAGTAAATGGATGCCGAGTCCAGCACAGGGCTTATATGTACAAACATAGATGCTATATTCATTGGTTTCCATGACAACAGAGAAATGCTGAAGCTGTATCCATAACAACCACTTGCAGGACAAAAGGCTATAAAAACAATGAAGATCTAGAGGGGACATAAGAGAACATTAAATATGTTTTTAAGCTGGTCTACGCTCAGAAAACTGCCGAACTGTCATCCTACAAACCCACTGGACCCAACTTTATGTATGTATCTGTGTATGACAATGACTACGTATTAAGTTAAACGTATAAGTTAAAGTTTGATTGAAACATGACTCCTCACACATGCACCCCAAAATGCAATTTTACCTCCTATAAAAGAGAGCTGATGTCTGTGTTAATGATGTGTCTCCTCTCTGCTGTGGTTTATAACTTTATTTGGGTTGTTTTTATTTTAAAGTGTATTTAGTTTTGTTAGCTTTATCAACTCACAAAGCCCAGTTTGGGAATATATGTCCAGAAATATATTCAACAATTTTTAATGAACACAATGTTCATACCAATTTAAATCAGTATTGTGAGTATTGTAATGCAATATTAGCTTCAGAGACGTTAAAGTTTTATAAGACATGATCTTAACACACACAGAGTTGAAATCCTGATGTGTTTTAAGACTGTAGCGTGTGCTGCTTGCAATTCCAAGGTCATGGGTTCAACTCTCAGAGAAATCATGAATGCCAGAAGTTTATCTGTCCAGTTCCATGCATTCTCCACGCCGCGGGTCCTCTGTGGGGTCGTGAGGATGAGTCCATCTCAGGGCTTATATGTACACATGATGCTATATTCATTGGTTTCCATGACGACAGAGAAATGCTGATGCTGTATCCATAACAACCGCTTGCAGTACAAAAGACTATAAAAGCAAGGAAGATCTAGACGTGACACAAGAGAACATTAAATATGTTCAGTTGGTCTTCGGTCTGAAAACTGCTGAACTGTCATGATGTCACCAAACTTCATGTATCTGTGTATGATGACTACGTATTTATGTGTGTGCAAGATTTCATGTCATTTAAAGTTTGATTGAAACACATGTACCCCCAATACACACAAATGCCATTGCATCTCCTGTAAGAGAGATCTGATGTGTATGTCTGTGTTAATGATGTGTCTCCTCTCTGCTGTGGTTTATAACCGATTCTTATTCTTTCACTGATAGACTGGCCATCTGCATTATAAAACACTTGATTAAACACTTCATACAGTGATTGAATTACTTTCACCATTAACATGATAGCTGATACTTAATTCTGTGCAAGTAAACGTTTGTGTTTTTATATTTAACTGAAGATACACTACACTCATTCATTCTTCATATGCCACATTTTTTTATCTCAGCAGTAGTTTATGGTGTTTCGTGTCATCAGTATCTGAAGTGAGTCACTATTAACATTAGTGCTGATACTTCCAGTACTTTTACAGCTACTCTACCCACTTGTCTCCAGTTAACCAGTCGTTAACTAGATCTAGTCCTGGAGTGATGCTGATGCTGCTGCTGCTGCTGCTGCAGTGAATCATAGGGCGGGGCTTGATCGCGTCGATCACTGCAGCTCGAGTGCTGATTGGCTGGTGTGAGGTGTGGGCGGGATCAGACGGAGGGCTGAATCATTCGCTTACAGTTAGACCGATTAAAGCAATCTCTGATTCTTTGTACTTGATTACAAAGATCAGCTTTATAACAGATGATTGTGCGCATCAGAATGAAGAAGAGTGTGGTGGTGCTTGTGATGAAGAAGAAGATGTGACGGCGTAAACTCCGCCCATCAGCCTCCATCTGAACCGCAGCTCGCACATCGAGCACAACATCGCTGTTTTATCGCTCGGTTTGGGGTAAGAACATCGCGCTGATGCAAACGACACATCGCACCATAAACACGATAAACACACTCAATAATATGTGCGCCATTTGCGTGCATTTCAGCAGTCGATTCTGTGCGGATTTCTCAGTTTGACGTTTTGTGATCGACGCATTTGCGATGATTGCGGAGTTAAACGCGTGTAATCGCGACCAAAAGTGGTGCGATTTTAATTCGCATTGTATCGACGATCTGAACACGTTAAGTAACGTTCATGTGTGCCAGTGTCATTGAGTGTCATTGTGTGTCGTTTAAACGTCACGTTCAATCTTTCATCGTTACTTGAACTGAACTCATCTAATGTTACATGACTGTATGACACTATCAAACACCGGCGCTCATCAGATACAGCGTTAAAGATAACTCTGATATGCGGTGCATTGACATCTACGAGAATAAATAAATAATAACACACACACACACACACAGACACACGCACACACACACACACACACACAGGTTCGTTTTTGTGATAAGTGGGGACTCTCCATAGGCGTAATGGTTTTTCTACTGTACAGACCGTATATTCTATTGCCCTACACCAACCCTACCCCTAAACCTACCCCTCACAGGAAACTTTGTGCTATTTCAGATTTTCAATACACTCCATTCTGTGTGATTTATATGCGTTTTGAAAAGTGGGGACATGGGGTAATGTCCTGAAAAGTCACCTTCTCCTTGTAATACCTATGTCATACCCTTGTCATTATACAAATTTATGTCCTCATTTGTCACAAAAACGCGCGCGCACACACACACACTGTACTAGTCAGGTTAGTTGTGGCGTTAGAAGGCGTTACATGACAGAATTCAGAATCCTGTCTGTTTAGTGACCATGGTAATTTGGAAATAGAACTCAATTGTTGAGTCAAGAATTTAAATAGCAAGTTACCTGTGGATGAAATTATGAAGAACATATACATTAGACTGGATGCAATTTTCAGTTATGTTTCACTACTATCAGTTTACCTCAAATGTTTCTCCTAAAATTCCTTTGCAGAAAGAAAAATACTCACCTGAGTGAATAGTTGAAAACCAATCACAGCAATTGCGTTTGTTTGTTACTGTCATTCAACGATTTATTGACAGTCACTATCAAAATATTACTGTCTGAGAAACCCTACAAAGACATTATTTTACTAGAGTCTGACAATTAAACTGGCTTAAGAGATCCATAAACCATATGCAAACTGATATGCATATTTTCCTTGGCAGTTAAAAGCAATGTTTTTTTCTGTTGGTTAAAACATTAAATCAACATATTTAAGAACCGTCTTTCTCTAATTATAATCCTTTTTTTTTGTCACACCAGACTTTTCACACCTGCAATTAAAAATGAAATGTAATTTTGTCAGCTCATGACAAAAAGTGTTTAAATAAAGATAGATAAAGACTCAAAAGTTAGTTGCTATACCCTTACCAAAAAGTAGTATACTTCAAGTTTATTTTAGTTTAAAAGAAGTATACTAATAGCACACTTGAATAAACATATTTTTCCGTAAGGGTAACTGGAAATCTGTTTGCATTTCTGTAAGAAAACATGTCGAAGTCATTGACTTCTGGAGCGAGTGTGTGGCATACTGATGCGAGCGCCGTTCACACTGACAGCGATTCACAGCCACAAAGCCACCGGACGTCATTATTCAGTTTCTGTGAGACCCGGCGACCGCTGGAGAAGTGACAGATATGCAAATAAGCAGGGAAGTGATGCACTGACTACCAATGGGAGAGCAGAGAGCGACACAGCCACTAGAAAGCAACAGCGCAGTGACTCTTGTGTCTGATGAAGTATGTCATATGTGAGCTGATGGCTTGTGTTTTCGCCTTCAGGGCCGATGCCTGCCATGCCGCCTCCATCAGACATCGTGAAGGTGGCCATCGAGTGGCCCGGTGCAAATGCTCAACTCATTGAATTTGACCAGGTACTGTTTACTGCTCATGCGCCAGTGTTACTAACACACATGTTGAACTGGTGCTTTTGTTTGAACCTGCTGAGATTGTTTCTCCTCTCACTGCACACACTTACGAAAATGTGTCATGGTGATATTTTACATCAATATACTGTTGCTCACGCAGATACTGATATAATGACTGAGAGATAGTGAAACCTGTTTGAAGGACATTTATTTGTGACCCTGGAGCACAAAACCAGTCTAAAGTAGCTGGGGTATATTTGTAGCAATAGCCAAAAATACATTGTATGGGTCAAAATTATGACCTTTTTTTTTAATGAAAATTATGAAATTTCTTTTATGCCAAAAATCATTAGGATATTAAGTAAAGATCATGTTCCATGAAGATATTTTGTAAATTTACTACCGTAAATATATCAAAACTTAATTTTTGATTAGTAATATGCATTGCTAAGAACTTCATTTGAACAACTTTAAAGATGATTTTCTCAATATTTTGATTTTTTTGCACCCTCAGATTCCAGATTTTCAAATAGTTGTATCTCGGCCAAATATTGTCCTATCCTAACAAACCATACATCAATGGAAAGCTGATTTATTCATATACATCTCAATTTCTGAAAATTGACCCTTATGACTGGTTTTGTGGTCCAGGGTCACATTTGTGGGAGTTTATAGGTAAAAATAGTAACTGTGATTGCTGTAATATTTGAGGAGAAACCATGTGCTGTTGGAGATTCACAGGCTAGAGTGTGTAATGTTTGTGTGTGTGTGTGTGTGTGTGTTGCAGAAGAAGCCGCTGGCGTCCATCATTAGGGAAGTGTGTGATGGGTAAGTCTGTCTCTAAACACTGAATTCACCCTGGCATCCATCTGAACAACCTGAAGCCAAGACAGATGAACTCACTCGCTCTCTTTATAATAACTCTAGTGTTATTTCACTCATTGTGCACTGTCAGCCTCCATCTTCTGTGACATCACTCAGTGACTAGATTTGCATACTCATGAGATTATTGCTGTCCCAGTAATGGTTTATATTATATATATTATATCAGGTGGGATTGATTGGGGTTAAATCAGCTAGAAATAGCTTAAGTTAACGTTTGGCAGGTTATCACATTTTAAGGTGTGGTTTATAGTTTAGTAAGCATGTTGTAATGAATACGTTTATAATGCGGAAATGAAACAGAATTTTCTCTGTTTATTTGTAACTTGATTGTACACAAATCAGATCAGATGATTCATATCAAATGAATGAATCAGTGTAAAAACGCTTTCAGAAACAGTCAAACTAATATAAGAACTGAAATGGCATTCGATGACAAATGGACTTGTGTGACACACGTCCTGTTCATCGTAAAGCACCCTTTCTATTTTTTATATCAGAGATATAGAGATATATCTCAGAATTGCGAGATATAAACAGAATTCTGACTTTTTTCTTTGAATTTATTGACATTTCATCTCACAATTCTGACAGCATTCTGAGTTTATAGCTAAGTTTCTAAATAATTAATTGATTTATAAATAATATCAGTGATACTAAAAAAAAATTGACACAATAAAACCAGTTAATTTAGATGTTACTATTTTAGTTCACCATTTTGCAGAGAGAGAGAGAGAGAGAGAGAGAGAAAAAACATCTACGTTGTGATATAAACCAATATTGGTATATAAAATGGCACTCAAAAATATTCTAAGAAAAAAATGCATAATTCTGAGAAAAAGCAAAAAAAAAAAACAAAAAAAAAAATCAGAATTTTGAGATAAAACGTCACAAAGTAGCATTCTGTGGCTTCCAATGATCTTCCAAACACTGTTATGCTGTTTATGCTAAATCATCAAGCACATTGTTTTCTAGTGATTGTTTATATAAAACTAAATCCCAGCTTTTGAATGTCAATTTAAACAATAAATATACTTAACATGACTGTAATTTCTTAATGGTTGAATGTGTGTTTAAATAAATCGTCTAACTCTGTCCTATAATGTGCTGTTTAAGACTTTTCACATCTTTAGAGTTGATATTCTCTCAATGGTTTAAGCCAATAACTGAAGCGATTATTATATCTCATCATTAGAAAGCTGTCTGTGTGGGTTTCAGGAACGGCTCATACTGTGAGTGTTGTGTTTGTTGTAGATGGTCTCTGTCGGGTTCAGAGCAGTTCGCCCTGCGTTACGCTGACGGGCCACAGCTTTATATCACTGAACAGGTCAGACTCTCTCTCACAGAGATCCTCATGAAGCAGAGCTCCACTGATACTCGTCTTTAAGAACCAGCACAGATTGAGATTATGTATGCTTTAGTGTCTGCTATGCAGAACTGACTTTTGATCATTGTTTGTTTTCACATTGGTAACTAAATAAATATTATAACGGGAAGGTTTTTCGACTGTGTTCATGAAGCCAGATCTACTGTATACAGACATATAGTGAGGTGTTGCAGTTGTTTGATTGATCTCCATGTGTCTGTGTGTTTCAGATCCGCGGTGATATTAAAAACGGCACCATCCTCAGACTGGCCATCTCTCCTGTAAGTCTGAGCGCAGTCTGCTGGATTGAGATGAAGAGCAGCAGTGTAGACTCGCTGTAGGCCTAACTGGTGTGTGGTGTTTTGTGGTGTTAGATGCGAGCGGCTCGACAGCTGCTGGAGCGCATCCAGTCTCATGGGATTGACGCGCGTCTGGAGGCTCTGAAAGAGCTGGCCAAACTCTCTGCTGACCCCACGTTCGCCACAGAGTTCGTCAACATGGAAGGCCTGGCGACGCTGGCGCGGCTGGTGGAGAGCGGCACGCAGTACGAGTCCTACGTACACACGGTTGGGTTGTGAGGGGTTTGCGACTGTCCATATTTGGCTTGATTGAGGCTCAGCTCATACGTAACAGGCCAATCCCAAAAATACTACAGCACTTGCCTTCTGATGAATAAATATGTACACTAACTACCGTTCACAATTTTGTGGGCGGACTGGGCACTAAGAGTGTTTTTTGAAAGAAGTCTCTTCTGCTCAACAAAGCTGCATTTATTTTATTAAAAAATGCAGTAAAAACAATCATATTGAATTTAAAATAAGTGTTTTCTATGTGAATTTATTGTAAAATGTCATTTATTTCTGTGAATCAAAGCTGAATTTCTGAGCTGAAAAACTCATTACTTGTTTACAAATCTAATTTAAGTGAAATGGAAAATAATAAATCCTCTTTCTTTATAGTTTAAAATTTTGCTTGTAGGTATTTGTAGTCTTATAGAGGAGATGTAAAAAGTATCAATTTGGGACCCGTGGCATATGTTGCATACCCTGTTTTGGCAGCGCTGGAATCTGATGCATTCTGTGTGTTTCAGACACGTGTGTTGGGATGCTGCTGTAGAGTGATTTGTCTTTTATGTCTGCAGTTTTGGAGAGATGTTGGCCTTCACTCTCACAGCGTTTCTGGAGCTCATGGATCATGGCATCGTGTCCTGGGATCTGATTTCTGTGTCCTTCATCAAACAGGCAAGTAAAACACATTTAACAGGTCTGTCTCTTTCTGAAGTAGCCTTTCTCAAATGCTGTGATTAAAAAAAACATTTTACTTTTACTGAAATTCGATCTTGAAAATCTCTGAAAATGGGAAACTTGTCTAGTATGTGTTTTTCTTCAATACAGGCATTATTTCAGGATTTAATTGAATACATTCAGCGTTTTAATTGACCTTTTGCATTGCAAATGCATGCATAATGGGGCTTCAGGGATAAGTGCTGCTGCTGTAGTTAAAGTTCACAATCACTGTATGTAATCTGAATCTAGTTAATAAGTCAGTTCCACTAATAATTTGCGCATAAACTGACATTCAAATTTGGGGTCAGTACAATAATATTTTATAGCCATTAAAACTTTTATTCAGCAAGGATGCACTAAATTGATCAAATGTGCCAGTAAAGACATTTGTAATATTACAGTTAGATTTCTATTTCAAATAAATGCTGTCCTTTCGAACTTCCTATTCATCTGTGAATCCTGAAAAATAAAATGTATCACAGTTTCCACGAAAATATTGGGCAACACAACTGTTTTCAACATTGATAATAATCAGAAATGTTTCTTGAGCAGCAAATCGGCATATTAGAGTGATTTCTGAAGGATTATGTGACACTGAAGACTGGAGTAATGATGCTGAAAATTCAGCTTTGATCACAGCAGTCAATTTTAAGTAGTGCTGTCAAACGATTAATCGCATGATCCAAAATAAAACTTTTTGTTTACATAATATATGTGTGTGTACTGTGTATATTTATTATGTATATATAAATACACACATGCATGTATATATTTCAGAAAAATATGTTATGTTTATATATTAAATATATTTATATATAATATAAATTATATGAATATAAATATATACACGTAAATATTTTCAAAATATATACTTTGTGTGTGTTTATAAATACATAATATACACTAGGGCTGTCAAAATGGCTGAAAAACTAAATTCGAATTT